TATTATACAATGTATATACCTTTGAGTTAACTAAGATTATATATTATATAAATATATATATATTTGGAGAAAATATATTTCATCATGCAGTTTTTTTCTGTTAAGTCATTAAAGAGAAGGTAAACAAACTGAAAACGGATACATTGTACAATGTGTGGAGTCTCCAGATTCATGCTCAGGAGGTCCAGAATATCAGGTTCTAAATGTAGGAGCCTCCACTCTGAAATGAGGGGCCCAACTTAAGTTCATTTCCTCTGTTTCTCAGCAAGATCACCTGAGATGTCATGGACAATAGGTCTGATCTACTCAAGGGCTTTCTCACAGGCTCTCTTTGTTCTAAGTCAGCTTGTAAAAGAATTTTGACTTTTAGACATGAGTGACTTGGGCAATAAGTCCTCTCATAGACTTACAATGCACAAATTAACGTCACAGACACTCGAGAGATACGGCTCAAGGCTAATGGACCATGGGCTATGGACAAAGGCTAATGGCCACCAACTTAATCCCTTTCAAACCCATGTTTTCGACTCTATTTTGGGAAAATAGAATTTGCCCTCCTGAAAATGAACTTTGAGTGGAAATGGCCCTCCCCCGCTAGCTCCACTCCAACCTTTGGGGTAGCTTGGTGGGAAGGAAGAAATGGTGTGCCCTGGGCTCTAGAATGGGTGTCACTGGAAGGGTTAGACTTATTTGGGCCAAAACAGACCCACCAGTGGGCATGCTCTAGGGAGGGCATGCTTTCCTTGGACAGTGGCTTCAAAAGGACTCACCCGAAGCTTACAGGTAACGCCTTTTCAACAACCAGATGCTGTAACTCAGTTTTATGACCACAGACAATCCTTTGGTCTTCAGGCCTGCCCATAAAATGTCACCTTCGGTTTATCTGGCACAGCAAAAAGGTTTTCCCTCCCTTTATTTACCTTTATTAGGAATTAAGTAAATTCATCTCACTTCACAGAAGAAATAACAGGAAAACAGAAGAATCTGCCTTCTGTGGTGGAGGTGGGCTGCCTGTGCTCTAACCTCAGATGAGTGAGGGCTCCTAGAAGTTCATGAATTTCCTTGTGCCCATGACGTGTCTTTATTTAGTACCTGAAAAGCTGAATCCACAGAAATGGTTCATGTGTGCAATGAATGGGACGTGGAAAGGACACAGATCTTCCTGTCTCATGGGCTGCTTGTCTGTGTGCTTCACTTTTCCATAAAGCTAATAATACTCATCGACCCCAGTATTTTGGGTACTTGTTTTTAACCTATAAAATTGCTAAATGTTCAAATGGTCCCTAGTCACACTCACCAAGCCCATTTGTAATCCTATGATTAATTATGTTCTATGATTAAAGAGAACACAGTTTATAGCAGTGCTTGAACATTTAGTTTCTCCAGAAGCATAAATACTATTAAACATCTAAAAACAAGAGGAAGATCCAAAAAAAAAAAAAAGCCCCAGAGAAAAAAAGAAGATAATGTAAAGAGTTTAGCATTATTATTTTTCAAAGCAGTGTTACTTTATGAAGGAAGAAGGGAAGTCTGTGAGACAGTTCAAGGATGAGATACAAATAAAGGAGGAAGAGAGAGCAGGGAACGATGATGGTGCCATTATTCTAGGTGCGTTCGAGGATAGTGCGCTAATGTGCGAGGTTGATCTACACACACACACACACACACACATCAGTGAAGTTGTTGGTATTTCATCAAAATTATGGTTGCTATAGTGTCATCATTCCTCCTAGCTCAACAGGGAACTTGCTAGGAGGCAAAACATTATCTCCGCATTCATCTTATACTCCCGAAAATAGAGTGAGAGAGTCAGCTGTGTGGCGACCGTACGTTGGAAAAATTTCAAACCCAAGTCCTCCTTGCAAACTGTCTCCACTCCTTGGGATTCCTGCCGATCGCAGGCGCCATCTCCTGCATCTTAATGCCACAGTGTCCACACAGCACACGCCCTCCATGGGCCCAGCTCCAGTCTCGGCACCGCTTGCCAAGCTGAAGAGAAACTTCGGGTCATTTTGCAATAACTTCTGAAATTTACATGCTTTTCTGAACTCTCATACACACCTTTCCCAGTCACTTCTCTGAAGAGGCTGATGGATCAAGTTGTCAGGCAAGGAAAATGAAATCTTTACCTTCTGTGTTTGGGCTGGGTTGGTTATTTATAGCTGACTCAGTGCTTCTACAAGTCTGTTTACCAGGATTTGATTATCAGACACACTTGAATCTACTTTAAGACTTGTTGCTGAAACTTAGGCTGTTCACTGTAATTTTTAGGATATGAAAGTGAAAGCTGCTCAGCTGTGTTTGACTTTTTGCAACCCCATGGACTGCAACAGTCCATGGAATTTTCTAGGCCAGAATACTGGAGTGGGTAGCCTTTCCCGTCTCCAGGGGATCCTCCCAACCCAGAGATCGAACCCAGGTCTCCCACATTGAAGGCGGATTCTTTACCAGCTGAGCCACAAGGGAAACCCTTAGGATATGAAAAGGCAGTCTTAAAACATATTTCAGGTTTAACTACCATTATCCAGTTTTTCTGTGTTACACTAAAAAAAAAAAAAGTGTTTCAGTAAAGTCGTAAAACTTTAGGAAGGAAAAAATAACCCCCTTTTTTGAGGCTTCAATTACATCTTCTGACAAAAAGTAGCCTGTCAACTGTTCATCTGCAGAAGAAATTAAGGCAGCGGCCAGAGGCGTCACCATCGCTTTATCACCAGGCTGTGCTATATACATGCTCTGCCTAGCATCAGCTCTGAAGAGTTCTGAAAAGGCTGAAGCCCTCCAATCCCAAGGTTTCCTAGGGACCAGGGAGATCCTCAGAGGCCTCCACGCAGGAGGGTGTGGACAGCTCCCAGGGGTCTGACTCTGCAGTCAGAGAAGCTCTAAGGCTGACCTCTCCCCACAAGTATTGCTGGTTTTCTGGGTGGCTGTTAGTCCTACCCTGAGCTGCCTCTAAGCATCAGGGTTTAGGCTAAAAGACGTGAGAGCTCAGAAACATGCCAAATGGATGAAGGATACCAAAATGAACCATGTGAAGGAATCTCACATCTTTCAGTTTGTTATGTGTCACAGGAAGGACTAATTCTACTTGGGAAACAATTTTCCTTTCTGGTTTATTGCTAACCCGCTTAATGGCTTTGGTACACTTCAGTTTTTTAATAAGAGGAAATAAGTAAAGGGTGTATAAAGATTCTTCTTGTGTGCCAACTTTATATAAAACTGGCTATCGAACTGTATTTGTTAAATTAACTATATTTTCTAAATAATTAAAGCCAGAGATTTTAAAATAAAAATCATCATCTCCTTACACTAGTTATAACAAGGAGGGGCTTTTCTGAGCCCCTTCATATACTCTGGTCAGTTATGCATGTTGTCTTGTACAAAATATTGGTCTGTTACAGGATGTTTTTAAGTATATGTACTCTTTATTGCATTCCTTGATTTGCATTAAACAATATAATATTTATATTTCTTTAATATAGTTCTGGACAAAACACAAAGACATTAATCTTATTTAACAAGAGACATAAGTTAATACAATGTATGCTGCTTTCACGGGAAGAGAAAAAAGAGGCAAGATCTAAAACAGGTAAGGGGATCCAGGATACTGGCCACCAGGAACCACAGAATTTTTACAATACAATCCACTTTTTTTTTTTAAGCCACAAAATAAGCTAGAAAACCCAAAAGAAAGCAGATGCGACATATAAATCTACCAAAAATATACAGAGAGCAAGATCTGGAGATAATTTATCTTCTACCACAGGGACAGAGGAGAGAGCTGCACCGCGGACCACTTGGTGACACCCAAGTACCACCTGGTGCCAAGCCTCACGTTAAGTACCTCCAGGTGGCTCCTGTCCTTGGAGCCAAAGCTGCGGCAGCAGCGGGGGAGGGACGCGTGTTCCATGAGTCTTCTCACCAAACATGACGACCTGATCACATTTCTTCCAACTCAGAACTACTGTTCTCCTTCCCTTTGGAAGAAGCGTGCAGAGGGGGAAGGAGATGTCTTCAGTGTACTGGAATGGATGTTAAAGGACTGAGGGGAGAGCGCTAGAAAGTGGTTTCTTTTTTTCTGGAAAAGAGTGTTTTATTTAGATGCTAGGGAGTACAGATAATTTAAAATAAAGGAAGGACACATTCTAAGTCATTAAGCTAGGGACAAAAGAAAAGTGGTGATCTAAAGAAGCCTTTAGTATTACTGGCCCACTTAGACCTGGGCACTAATGAGTGCTGAGAGGGTTGTTACTTGAGTTGACACCTTTCTGTTTTGGGGTGTATGCTTTTACCATACACATCTCTCACAGGTTGTTAACAACATCTACCAAGTAGTAATGACCAGCGTTATCTCTTACCACTGAGCACATCACTTGCATTAAAGGGATGGCACAGCCAACATGGTAATAATCTGACTTCCTATAAAGAAAGATCTCCTGATTGCAACCTAGAAACATCTCTGAAAATGATCGAGAACAGCATCTTAGAAATTCATAGCCCTGTTTCTTCAGGCAAAGATAACCAGCCTTCTGGGAGAAACTTGAACCAACTATCCAATGACCTGTAGTGTTAGCACAGGGAAGTTATGAGAGAATCCCTTTGAACCCAGTACCTCTAGTCACAGCTCCTAGTTTACATGTGGAAAGCCTTCCTTCTACTAGGCCAACTGCTGTTTTGCAACATCAGTATGTTTATTGAGAGTTTTTGGGTGGTGGTGGTAGGGAGCTTAGAACGTGTAGTGTTCATAAGTACAGTATGTTTTCCACATTTAAAATTGAGCAAGAAGGAATCAGCTTACATGGAGAGGTGAGCACAGCATTCTAAAGCGAGTTTACACCTTCCACAAGAGGGAGTATCTCAGTAAGCACAGGGAAGGGAGTTTCATTGCACTCGTCATGCAGTGTGAGCACGTGTCGAAGGCAGGGGACATTTCACTGTGTTCAGCATCTTGAGGAGGTCGAGTGACGATCCCAGGCCATCTTCACCTTGGTCACTTTGCTTGGTCACTTTGCATTTGAAAATATTTCATGGTCATAGTCGAGGGGGCTACTGAAAAAGAAATAACCAAAACACACACGAAAAACAGATGAAGGGTCTGCAAAAAGCCCTTCATCACAAAACCACACTAAAAGCTTCTTAGTGGTTTCTCTACATTTTTCACTATGCATTTGCCATTAGAAGAGCATTTCACAAAAGAAAATGTTTACACTCCATGCATTTAAAAGCAGGTTCCAATAAATATGTACCATCGTGCTTTTTCCTGCCTTGTGACAAGGAAGTTTTGCGAAGCAGGACAGGGAGAGCAAACCAACAGTACAACCCACTTCCTTGCTGGGTCTCCTAGACCTACAACACAGTGGAGAATTCTAATAAATGGAAACAAAGTTGTCCAAGAGAGGTTGAGAATTCAAATTCACAGGCACTGTATAGCACTCTTAGAACAGGCACACAGGGGTTTACAAGACCAGGGAGTCTGGCTGGCGGTCTCAAGTGTCATATGTACTTACGCTCCTTCTTCTCTTAAGAGGGCCAAGAATTTTCTCACACGGTATTCAGGATCCATCTAAATACATCAGAAGGAATAAAGAAGATGGGTTAGTGGTGCCCTCTAACAACGATGCACCTACTTCATGCCAAGAAAATGATTGGTTTAATACTTTCTCAGGGCTTTGGTGAGCCACAGAAATGTGTTACCTGCTCCTTAACCAGGAGTCTGCTGCAGAGCAAAGTGGACTATGTCACTCAAGGGAAGTGAGGAAGGATTTTGGAGCACAGAGAATCGCTATGCATGAGGTCATCCATAGGCACCTCAGCCCAGCGCCCCCTTAGCTGGTGCCGGGTGAGGAGGTGGCCCTGAGAAGCACGTGTGAGAGCAGGGCTGGCCAGTCATGGGGGTGCGAATGGCATCCAATTCATAGGGCTCATCCAAGGCATGAAAGTGGGACCAAAATGGAAGAAGCCAATTGATGCTGATTAAACAGTGAAAAAATAGCCTATTAACTCTGTATGAGTGATTCTTTAGCTTTTCTTAGTCTTGGTGTGCCTGGCATAGTTTTTTCTTCATAATTAACAATAACGGTTGTGCTGAAACTAAAAAAGAAAATCAGTGGGGCTGATTCCTCTGACATGCTCTCTGGATAATCCAGGTCTCCTGGGACTGAGAACAGCATTGTGAGTCTAAGAAAAGATGGGGGGCTCGGTTCTCGCTCAGATTGTAGGGTCTGGGTTGCTATTATTAATTATCCCTATTCATTTTCATTTCATATTTCTTTAAAAACTTTTTCACTATCTATCTTTTCTCTTTCTTTTTGATTTTATTTATCTGTTTGTTTAGGCTGCACCAGGTCTTAGGTGATGAGGTATGTGGGGTCTAGTTCCCTGACCAGGGATCGAATCTGGGCCCACTGCTTTGGGAGTATGGAGTCCTATCCACTGGACCACTAAGGAAGTTCCTCATATTTGTATTTCTATGAATTTGCTTAATTTTTTTTTATTCTCGTTGGTCTACCAGAGATGTGAAGTTGTCAAAAAAAAAATGATCATTAAAAACAGCTTTAATTCCTGAAGATGAATTTTTATTGTAAGAAACACACCTAACTTTGAAAAAATGTTCCAGGGCAAGAGTCTGTTCCCCAAGAGGGAACTCCCTGCCCTCCAGGAATAGCTTTCAAATGCTCAGCGCAGCTGTGGGTAAATGTGCAATTGGATTCCCCCCTCTAACCACTTTTTTTTTTTTTAAAGATTTCTTCTCTTCTATCCCCCCAAAAATCCAAGTTTCGAATGTATCAAAGTTAAGAGGTCAGACTACAAAGGACTAAGAAAAAGTGTGAATAGTTAACAAGAGCAACATTTTTCCTCTTTGGGAATAGAATTACATATGAATCAATTGTCAAGTTCTTTTTCAAAAAAAAAAAGGAACTGGCTGGAGCTCTGCTGTAGTCAGTACTTGCAGGTCTTTGCCCATTAAACATATTTAATATGTGTGAGCAACGACTTACTGACTTGCCTGTAGCTATGGAATTAAAAGTCAAGGGAAAGGGAGGAAAAAAGTAATCTAGATAAATGACTTTATTCCCTCAGGTGACATCCAGTCAGAGCAGATCCTCAGCACTGTGCAAGTTTTAACAGAATTGTGTATGGTGAACAGAGAGGTAACATGACTTATATTCGGCTAAACTACATGCCTCTTCACTGAGACTCGGTCTCTCTAAGGCAGATCTAAAGAGAATTCACTCAGCTGCACGAAATCCATTTGACGTGAAGGGGTTCAAACTCAGAGGCCTATGAAGTGTCAGTCGCTTAAGACTAGGTCTGAGTGCCCCACTCTCACTTTCCACCCCACAAACAGAGGAGGCATTAACTTGATCACTGACCTGCGGGCATCAAAGGAAGAGAGGAAGGGGTAGGGATTGGGGAGAAAAACCCACATAGTTTCTTCTATGCAATTATTGAAAAAAAGCTGTGCTGAAACTTAAAGAAATGAAGCATAGAGCTGACTGTCTGACAGCTTTATTTCTTCCAAGGAAAGAGCCAATATAAATATGTGCACCTTTACCAAGAATAATCCTCAGCAAAGTGATTAGTCTGGAACTTTAATTTACTACTCATAAGGAAAAACAGAAATAAACTGGCTTAAAAATAGTCCAGCTGAAGGTTTCTGAAAGCCACAATTTTAAAATAAATTGAACAGCAAAGATTAAAAAAGCGTTCACTTTGTGATTGCAATCTGTTATTGGTCAAGAGCCTATTTCAGCAGTAAATTAAATAAATTTCACCTCTGCCACCCACAGCCCATATTGTTGGAACAACAGGACTGAGCGTTAATGCATAATGCTCAGAATGCAGCCATTCTGTCCACTGAGGACCCAGGAGAGATTCATTCAACAGAAATTGACTGAGGGCCTGACTATGCATCCAGCTCTGTTCCAGGAGCTGTGGACTTAGTAGTGAGTGAGAGGCAAGATCCCTGAACTCAAACAACTTGGAAGTGACACATTTAGTATCTAACTAGTATGTCAGATATGGACAAGAAGACACAGGATGGGCACAGGTGGGGGGGGGGGTGGAGTTACAAAAAGAAGAAAGGCAAGGTGCCAGTAGACGTGAGAAGGTCTCAAAGAAGTTTCATCTGTTTTTGCCCAGGCAATAGCCTGGGGCTTAGTTTTCTATGTGATCCTGGATGCTTCAACCCTACAGTAGTTTGCATGAAATTTCTAGGAGCCCTGCCAGGGGAGAATATATACAGCCTCTGTCTAATCTCTACAGTCAATCACTGTGTCCCTTGAAACAGTCTCCCAGGCCCGCTCTGGTGTCTGTGCATTGCTTCCTGACTTCTGATGGACAGTGCCAGGTCCTTCCACCTCCACCCTGTTAGACCACTAGCTGCGACCTTGGTTAACTCAGTGACAACTGGTGGGACTCTCAGGATCCTCACTTCTAAAATGAGGGGGCGGCAGAAATTGTTCTTTCAAGTCCTTTCTAACTGTAAAACCTAGTGACTCCGTAAATTAAAATTTAATTTTATCATCTTTTCTCCTATTTTTGAATTTTAAGTAGGAAAGAAAGTACCAATAAGTTGTTGTTGGATCTCAGAAACAGGTTACTAACACCAACTTGACTCTGGAAATAATATAGGAGACTTTCAACTTAAAACCTTAGAGAGAGAGAACGATAACACCTGTTGGGAATAATACTGTGAACCTTCTGTGTCTGAACTACATGGAGAAGGAAGCATCTTACCTGTAGGGACATCTCAATCAACATTAGTAACTTCTTGATTCCTATCCAGACCTTCTTCCCTTTGACTTGCTGTGTAATTGTGGTGCGTTCTTCATCCTTGAAGTTGCCCAATAGCTACGAAAACAATAAAAGTAAGGAAAGCATTATATAAGGACATCAACAACATTAATTCCCACATTTACCCTTAAAAGAATAGTGATAAGAACTTCCTGACTGGTTCAAGCTGACAGAATTCTCTCATATTTTAAAATCCAACCTGACTTTTCTGAATCCATTAAGTGCAATTATGAAAATGAAAACTGGAATCTTAAACCCTATTTTCTTATGGACCTTCAGTATAATTTAGAGATATGTTTGCTGGGGGAAAAATAGCTCCAATCCATAATAAATATCAGTTAAAATTTTTAACATTCCATGCTAAGAATAATCTGTATATGTCAAAGCAGACTAAATTTAATTCTCTCACTCAACCTCGGCACAAAAACTGCTCAAACAGGTAAGCTGGAAACATTTATCATATAGCTTCTATTTTGTTGGGAATATGCCCAATTGTACAGGTCTTGAGGATTTTAAGAAGCCTTCCTGACTCTATCGCTGCTGACAAATAACTAAATAATCTTTCTTAACACTTCATCAAGTCATTTGTGAACACTAATATTAATCAAAAATTTAATAAAGGATATACAGTTTTTAAAAAATTAAAGACTATGTCATCCTCAAAAAAGAAAATATTTCCATATTATGAACTTGTTAATAAAAAGGTTCCTTTAAGGCTTTAATTATTGCTCAAATTGATTAACTGCAAGTAAATGGATTGAATGCTACTATGAAGAACTGAATTTTCTATATATTGATTATTCTACTTCCCTCCCCCTACCCAAAGCTTCTGGCCCATGTAACCTATGCATTAGTCATGCTGGGCACAGAGTAATTCATTCCTGGCAGTCTGCATGCCGCTTCCACTGAGGAATGAAGAATTACTTCACTCTGACTTGTATTTCTCTTTTTCCTCTAATTCCTGAAAGGGACTGGAGGTGTATCCTGGGTTCCGTGTTCCGTGTTAACACAGACACTGAACAGCAGGTGCGGTGCCTGGGGCAGCTGCAGCTCCTTCCGTCGGGCAGTGTGCACTCCACTCCCTCGTGCTCACCTCCAGAGCCTCCAGCAGCTGCTCCCCTGTGGCGATGTTGGGCACATGGATGGTGGTGCTGAAGGCATTAAGCATTTCCATCTCCTGAAGCACATCTTTGCGGCTCGTGGTCCCGATGATAAGAAGCTTGCGACCCTGATCAGAGGGAGAAAAGGTGTTAAAATACAAAGGGAAGAACTTGTTAGGAAACTAGACTAAGCCTGAACAACACTCATTTATTTAATTGCAGAAATGCAAATGCTTAGGCAAAACAGAAGGAAAAAATTCAGAACTATCCTCTTGAAAATCTTCTTTTTGGCCGCATCACACGGCGTGTGGGATCTTAAGTTTCCTGTCCTGCAATGGAAGTGGGGAATCTTAATCGCTGGACTGCTAGGGAAGTCTCTTGAAAAGTCATTTTAAAAATGTTATCAACAACATGATTCGGAAAAAGCAACACTTTCTTCAGCACGCGGTTCAGAAAGAAGCAACTGCTCTTTCTCCTCATCCACATCAGTAACATCCCGGGTCAGTAAATCAGGAAAATACACAAACCAAACAGAAAGATACTTTACTGTATGTCTGCAATTCATCTCCACAGCCAATATACACATATTTCAATATATGTATGGTTGAGGGGGAAAAAAATGAATGAAAGTCCTTGCCACCCACTTAGCAAGACTTTATTAATGCTTTTTAGGAGAGGTCTTTGGGTAATAATAATTGTTTACATTTATGCAGCAGTGAAAGGCATGGTGCTATATTTTTCACATAACTGTCTCATTTAATGTTTTTAACTTCATTTTAATTTTTAGCCCCCTAATGTAACAAGGAATGTTTAAAAACTGTATCAGGCTTAGGCCACCATTCCTGATTCCCACAGTCCAGAAGCAACCATTTTCTACTCTCTGGGTTTTTCTTCTTGTATTTACTTCCTTATCTTTAAATAACAATAGCACTCTCTTATTTTTAGATCTTTCTTTTCGGCTTTAAATATTATTTCCTGAATTCCTATTACGGAAGATGGAGATTTAATGCTAATTTTGCACTAACCCCGCACCTCCAACATGTCCCTTTTCTCATCCTTCCAATATAATTATTTCACAATCTCTCGTTAAATCTATACTCAGTATTTATTATGATTATATAAATATGACTTATGGTTAAGCCATGTAGTATCTTTTCTTGGGCAACATTTTGCTCTTGTTAAGAGTTAATAATTTAAAAAAAAAGAGTTAATAATTGCCATTTTCCCCCTTTGCTTAGTTCATCAGGTACTTATCACAAGTTCATCTCCAAACAAATATAGCCACAAATATCATGCCAATATGTCCAGACATGTTAGGGAATTTTAAAGTTTTGGGTGTATTTTTAAAAATTTTATTTCTTTATTTTATTTATTTTGGCTGCGCTGGGTCCTCACTGCTCCATGAGGGCTTTTGCTCCAGCTGCAGGGAGCAAGGGCCGCTCTCTCGCCATGGTGCATGGGTTCCAAGCTTCTCTTGTCTCAGAGCACGGGTTCCAGGCACAAGCTCGACAGCCACGGTGAACAGGCTTAGCTGCCCTGTTGCATGTAGGATGTTCCCAGATCAGGGATTGAACCCGTGTCTACTGCACTGGCAGGCAGATTCTTTACCACTGAGCCATCAGAGAAACCCCTTGGGTGTTTTTTCTTGAAGGCATTCCCCTCGTGGAGTCCTCTGTTCTCAGAGCTCAATCTGAACCGACTGTTCTCTATGCTGGCTGCACAAGTTATAGCTATAGAACCTTCTTCTCTCCTCTCCGAGATTCCATGTCTCCTAGTCCTCCTTTTTTTCCCCCCGTTTATTCCCTCTCTTCCATGGTACAGACTTCAAAAGCTTCCTGAGGAAAAGTGTATAAGAGGTAAAAACTTTTAAGACCTGGAAATGCCTTTATTCCATCCTTAATATTGTACACTTCCTACTTGATAGTATGGCTAGGTATAGACAATAAGGCTAGAAATAATTTTCCCCTCAGTATTATCAAGTCATTGTTCTATTGTCTTTTAATTTGCAGTGCTGCTGACTAGAAGACTGATGCCATTTTGATTTTCTGACTTATTGCTTCTAACTTTTAAAAAACCTTTTCTTTATCTCTATGTCCTATAAGTTATAAACCTTCAGGTAAGTCACTCTTTATTTCCTGAATGTTTCTTTTTTATAACAATCACATACTGTTATATTTCATGGATACTACCTTATTTTAGATCTCTGTGAATACTGCAAATTTTAAAAGTGTTTTCTTATTTTCTCTGCTTTGTCTTTGTTTCCTCTGAGTTCCTTTTTTTCCTCCTTATTCATTCATTGGTGGTTTTCTTCAAGGGCCTGGTGATTGTTGGATGACTATTCATATTTAAGAATTAAACTAATAACTGGAAGCTCTGAGTCTGAGGGTTTCATGATAGGATGGTAAGACTTTGCTGATTACTGGGGGTCCCTCAAAGGTCAGGATGTGTACATTTTCCCCAGAGAATCTTTCAGTCTCCTTCCTGAGGGCTACACAGCCTACTTTCCAACATATTTCGCGGGAATCGATGAGGGGAGGGGTTGGGTATCTCACCACTCAGTATGAAGATGCCCACTCACTCCTGTCTGCAGCACGGTGCCCTTTAGATCCCTCTCATTCAGTGTCCATTGTGCTCCCAAGAATTAAGTAGCAGTATTATCTCCACTTTACTGTGGAAGCTATTAAGTCTTATAGATTTGACTAATCTGTTCAAGGTCTAATAACTAACAAATGATAGAACCAAGAATGGAAACCAAATCCCGAATCCAAAATTGTATACTGCCTTTTTTTCATGAAGAAAAACACATTTTAAAAATGTTTACTTGGAAAATGGAAGAAGAATGGACTTTAAACTATGTCACTAGATTTATGATACACACTCATTACACAGATAAAACTTTAATTCAATCATTCAACCTATTCTCAGATCTCAGAAACTCAGGGCGTTAAAATAAATGAGGGAATAAAAAAATTATTATGTGAAAATTAAAGATTTTAAGAAACTGAAGCTGCTGCTGCTGCTAAGTCACTTTAGTCGTGGCCGACTCTGTGCGACCCCATAAATGGCAGCCCACCAGGCTCCTCTATCCCTGAGATTCTCCAGGCATAATACTGGAGTGGATTGCCATTTTCTTCTCCAATGCATGAAAGTGAAAAGTGACAGTGAAGTCGGTCAGTCGTGTCTGACTCTTAGCGACCCCATGGACTGTAGCTTACCAGGCTCCTCCATCCATGGGATTGTCCAGGCAAGAGTACTGGAGTGGGTTGCCATTTCCTTCTCCAAAGAAACTGAAGATCAGATACCAAAACAATTACACTTTGGGTTTTGTCAATATTAAACCACTATTGCTAATAAGGCATGCTAGCTTTTCTCAGTCTTAACTGATTGTTTTTGTCCATCTATTGTGACAAGAATAGATATCATAAGAACATAAACAACGGCCTATCAAAGAAACAAAGCTGAGGCTTTCTGGTATAAGCAGTAATTGGCATATCAAGTGCCTGTGCAAAGACTATGAGGGAGAAATATACCTATGAAGTATAGAGATTAAAGGGTAATCATTGTTATTATTCCAGAAATCAATTCGCTAAAAATCAAACACATTGTCAACAGACCCTTACCAAGCTTCTGGATGAATATGGAATAGACCTTACATATACAGAGAGACAGATACAAAAGAGATCGTTAGAATACAATATGGAGAGGCAGAGGTAAAGGTACAGGATGTCATGTGAGAGAGAAGAAATGTGCGGCAGAGAAACATCTCCTTTTCCTCTGGAGGAGACAATATCTGAACTGTCTTAACAAGTGAGTGGGTTGACTTGGAGATGAAGGGGAAGGACATTCCAAGTCTGAAGGAGCAGAAACAGATAAATCCAAAGGCAAAATAACAAAAACTGAGATGTCAGGGGGTAATTAAGAACACAGAAAGACACCGAAGGGGTTTCCTGGTGGCTCAGATGGTAAAGCATCTGCCTGCAATGCAGGTGACACAGGCTCGATCCCTGGTTTGGGAAGATCCCCTAGAAAAGGGAATGGCAACCCACTCCAGTATTCTTGCCTGGAGAATCCCATTAACAGAGGAGCCTGGTGGGCTACAGTCTATGGGGTCGCAAAGAGTCAGACACGACTGAGCGACTAACACTAACTAAAGACATATAAATTTCTACTATGTAACAGTAAAGTGGTGCTTTTTACATTCAAGCTATTTTTCAACATTAAATTCTGAAAATTTGGGAACATATCTCAAAACCACATAGGCTGGTACATCTTCATTATAATTAAAGATAACTGTTGGGACTTCCCTGGTGGTCCAGTGGCTAACACTCCATACTCCCAATGCAGAGGGCTCAGGTTTGATCCCTGGTCAGGGAACTAGATCCCACATGCTGCAACTAAGACCTGGCACAGCCAAATAAATATTTTTAAAAAGAACAAAATTTAAAAAAAAAAGTAGTTACTTTGCTTTTTTTTCTTTAGGTTTTCAATGTTCCTAAGTCGCTAATTCAGGCTCCCTCATTTTGCTCCTCTCGTACAGAAGACAACACTGGCCCTCGAAGAATGGCTTGCTAACCATTCTAAAAGCTGAATGGCCATTTTCCTAGTGAAACTCTGTCTTATATTACCAGTGACTATGCGCTTCAGAGTGTTGAAAGACTGGGAAATGTGGAGCAACTTATAATGGAGACGCTAATTTATGTTTTGCTTTTCTTCTTGTTTAACAAGACTGCAAACACTGCAGAGAGGTCATGACCCAGGCAAGTTCGGGCCTTGACTTGTAGGCATCATCTTCAAGAAAACACCGAAAAACATTACCAAATAATTAAATTGTGCTGGATCATTTTGTATATTAATTAGTGGTAGTACTCACGAGGCAGCTTTATCATGAAAAACCAGCTCTGAATATATTTAATATCCTAAATCACACTGGAGAACATTCTGGAGAAAAAGTTGCCAGCAGCATGAGGTGGGAAGGCCAGCTTTAAAAACAGAAGTAGAACTCAACCCAGAAAGAGAAATCCAACTTGTTAATGTGTGGCTACCAGTCTGAATCTATAGTGCCAAAACATGCCCCTTGATGGGAAGAAAAGAGGCAGAGAGATAACTTAACTTGGGAAAAAACTGTTTC